GAGAGAGAGAGAGAGAGACGAACACACACCGTTTTCTCTCATTGTGGCTTTTGGGTTGGGAGTGAAAGGAGGGGAGGGTCGGATGAAGAAAAGAATAGCCTCTGATGGGGGGTGGGGTGGGGGCAGGGGAGGTTGGGAGGCAACGTGGAGAGGGGGAGGGAAGGTGATGGTCCAGATTGGGAATGAAGCACAGAATTCTACACTTAAGTGTAGAATTCTGTGGAATGAAGTTGAAAGCTAGATTGTTCAACAGGAGAGGGGAAGGAATGGGTTGTTTGTATGGGGCAGAAGCGACGTGTTAGAGGATGAAGGAGGGGCAGCTCGGGAATAAAAGGGGAAAGGGGGGGGGGGTAGGCGTGATGTCTTTGAAAATTATGGATTGTATTTGTATGGATTTGTTAAGTATGCATCTTCTATTAGACCCACCTATAGTGCAGTCAAAAATTCGTGGCGCAACTTATTCTCAAATATCTTTATAACGGGTGAATCAACGGTACCCATACTTTGCACAGCAGTTTGTATCTTAACTTAATCATTTTTTTCCACAACAATTGAGGCTAGATTTTTTTTTTAAACGTTTCTTCATAAATATAAAATACCAGAAACCTCCTTCACGCGGAAAATATAATTGTTCACAGCACTTCCCGCTCCTCACACACATTTTGTATACACATATGGGTTACGTCACAGCTCATCAATGACACTTTTAGTGGCAAAACTATTTACAAGAAATTAATTTGATAGTGAACACTTTATTGCACTAAAAGTTCTCTAAGCATGCGTCCAATAAAGATAATACCACTATTAGTATTAGTATTAGGGGAAAAAATGACGGACTTGCTTTTAAAAGCGATATCGTCCCAGCTGTAAATCTTTTTAAAATCAGTAGAAACCACCTACTTGGATTTTTTATTTGTATTAATTAATGAATTTTCTAAAAAGAGCTAACAGGTCTTTACAAAAATATTGATCTGTTAAGACAAATTGGTACTAGTCACTGTACAAAAGCTGGAGAGTTTATGTTCGATAGTTGAAAAGATATTTGACAGTAAGTCGCGCCACGAATTTTTTACCTCACTATAGCACATTTTGCAAAACAGCGGGAGATAAACAAAGGAAGAGAGAGCGAGAAAGAGAGAGAGAGGAGGGGAGAGAGGGGGGGAGAGAGGGGGGAGAGAATGAAAGCAGAGAGCAGAGAGAGAGAGAGAGGTTGAGATTGAAAGAAAGAAATAGAGTGAGAGAGGAGGGAAGGAGAGGTAGTGGGGAAGGATCAAAGACAGACAGTAAAATGTAATTTTCATCTATATTATATTGTTCATGTATTTATTTATATATTTAGTAGAGGTTTTACGGCGCACGCAACTGCATAAGGTCATATGAGCGCCAAATGTATTTCTTTAGTTCATAGTTCGTTCTTCTTCCAACGTTTCAGAACAAGGGGACACAACACTTCCCCCTCCTCCTCCGCCACCCGACGATCTGGATGAGCTACCTCCCCCGCCCCCTCCACCGGAACTGCTCACCGCAGGTCACGTGAACCATGACCTCCGTGACCCCGTCGCGTGCGTAGCAACCGCAGCAGCCGCGCCTCCAGTGACTGGCACCGTC